GTAAATTCATTGCAAAAGATATGTAATAGATGTTTGAATAGCATAAATTCATTGCAAAAGTTATGTAAATATATGTAATATCTTTTATGTATTATTTATATGTAATATAAATGATACATAAAAGTCATTTTTGGCATTATATAAGAAAAAATGTCAATATATAAGCAGTGCTAATGTGATAGTTGTATGTAGAAACAGTCTTAGACTGCAATTTATTGAAATGTGAATGTTAACTTTATAAATTATTGCACAAAATTATTTTTACATGTTATACCTAATAAAACAACTAAAATTTATCAAAATTTTAGTGTTTTGTTTTACTAATTTTTTATCAGAAAAATTTATCTCAAAAAGTGCTAAGTTGACCCTAGTTTACCTATATATTTTTAAACTCCTATAACAAAGAGGAATATGATGCTTTTTAACTAAATTGTGCCAACTAAGCACTTTTAAACAAAAAAAGTAAAATGACCCTACCCCTTTAGTTTAAATTTTTGTAAAATATTTAAAAAAAAAATTAATTCAAATTTTTTTACATTATTTTGTTCATATTTTTATGAGGGGAAGATGTGTTCAGAAAAAATGTATATCTAAAAATTAAAAAAAAGAATTAAGACCAGTTTTTGACCAACACCTCCACACACACCCCCTAGCCCTCTTTTCTATTGAACTATTTTTTGACTAAATTTAATCTAGTTAGTACAACCATTAATAAAAAAAATATTGCAACATTGAAGTCTGTTTTAAAATAAACGGATTACAAGAGTTAAAATCAAAACTGAGAGCTTTGTTGTGTATATAGTAATAATATAATATTTTTTACTTATCACGTTTATATTTTGAATTATATTATTTTAATTTTAAATCATTTTGTTTAAAAAGTTATTTAAAAAAATCGACAAAAATATTTATATCTTTAGTTTAATAACAATGAAGCTCACTGAATTTGACTTTTTTGAAATTTTTATTGCTTATGAAAATAAACAACCAAAAACTTTTCTGCAAATATAACAGGTTGTATACTAATAATTTGCTAAGGCACTTGGCTTATTTTTAGTGTTTCAAAATTTACACATAAAAACTTTTCCAAAAATTCTTTAATCAATCCCATTGCACCTTCCGTTCAAAAGTTTTATACCAATGTCTGTGAAAACAGCTGTTTGGCCCGCTGCACAGTGCCTCACAGCTACGGAAAAACGGCAAAAACCCTCAAATCAGTGTTTCTGAATGGATTTTAACCTTTTTTGGCTCTAAATATATTAAAATTTAATCAGTAACCCAACAGAAAGTCAGAAAATAATTTTGCACACTATTTTCAAAATATTTTTGCAAATTTGCAAATTCTGAATTTTTTCCCACTTTCTCAACATGCTTTTCTGTCGTTTTTTATTGTACTTATAGAGACAAATTCATAAATATATATATAGTTTATTTAAATAAAAAGTGACAAATTTTCAATGTTTTTAAACACTTTACATATAATCCTTTAATAACAGCCGATTTTGTCAGTAAACAGTGAAAACAATAAAGATTACATTATTCAGAAACAAATATCTACAATTTCTGTATGTTGTAACATATAACATATATAACATGTAACAATATAATTTAGATTTAAACAAAAAATCTAAACTTAGTGTTTCAGCAAGTTAAGAGCTTGTTCAGACAAGTGGTTTCCATTGTAAGATTTGTGTTTTATGAAGTTGATCGATGAAATTTCTGGATCAGGTCTGATCAGCAAATATTGAAATTAATTTTTCATTACATTTAGTCTGGAAATTTTGTATGAATGGTTTAACCTAGCATGTCTTATCACTTAATTTTGGGCCTCCTGAGCCTCCTCAGAATAATAACCAATGGGTAGTTCTAGATTTTCAGCAATTGCAGGTCCATGAACTTGAAGTTTGTGAAGAGTTGGAGGCATTCTGTACCAATCATAGTTATTAACTATAAAGGCTAGAGTCTCATTGCAGTATTGGCTAAATCTATCAATATCTAGGTCATACCTTGAACAAACAGCTTGAAGAACTGTCCTCACCCGGAAAATCAACTCAACCTGAACTCCTGTTATGTCAGCAAAAGCCTCACCATGCATGAATGCTCTTCGGGCAGTATTACCATCATTTGTATTCCCAAATCCAGTTTTTGGAGCATCTACCAGTAAACTAAGTTCTGCTCTAAACCTATCTTGAATAGTTTTTTTTCTAGCTTGAACAAGTACCTTATCTTCGGCTAACCTGACATCTGTCCTTGGAATAGTCATCTCCAGTCTGTAGCCTAAATGAAGTATGTATTCAAAACATTTAATTCAACAATGCAATGATGATAAACCAAGGGACATAGCATCATCATTCACAGGTTTAATTTTAACTAGATCTAGCATTTCTGATGGTTTCGCACCACAAATATTGCAGCTTGCAGATGATTTTGTGTTGGTTAAGGCATTAACCACTTTGCCATCAAACATGGTTAGTTCAACATGAGATTTTATATTGATACTGACTTTTCTTCCTTCCGCAAGTGTAATAATCTCAACATAATCTTCCAAATCAGCCATCTGATCACGAATGTGTTTTTCTTCTGACTTGCTAAGTTCTGTGGTTTCTTTTTTGTATTGAAGACGAAGAGGTCTGCAAAAATGAGAACTATTTGGTTTCTTATTCTCCCAAATTGTTTTACTTTCTACACTTAACAATTGCAGTTTGGAAAAGGGATTCTTCATTTTTTTTAGCCTCCTCAATGTCTGTGTTATCATACCTTTGTTTATACAAACTTTGGCTTGATGCACCATCAAACCCTGCTTTTAGAATAAAACGACCATTGAGCACATTTTGATCTGGATCCAGAGTTTTTAATTTGTCTTCACTTAATACAATAACTTTTTTAAGAGTATGATTCACCATGGACTGTAATTTACTTTCAGCAGAAGTTTCAGTTACAACAAGGTCCTCTGGATAACAATTACTTTTTTCCTTGAATAGAGCATGTAATGTTGGATAAATATTGGCATTGTGTTTGATTGAGGAGTTTCTTATCATTTGATACTGATCATCACTGTGATCACAATTAACTTTTAATGAAAGTGCTTCTTTCTCACTCATCATTATTGGTTCCTTGCTGTCCATACTTTTTCTGATTTCAGATGCTTTCTGAATAGACTCTTTAACCACATAAGCAAAGTCTTGTAAGTCACCTGATGATTTTGCACTTTTAACAGCAGCCAGAGCTAAAACCTCTAGATCATGCGCAGATAATCCAACAACTCTTGTTCGCTTACTTCTCTCTCCTAGATCTTTCCAATCTTTCTTTGGTCGCCCTCCACTGAACTCTTTTCTGCTTACATGGTCAGCTTTCATAACAATTTGAATTTCGGTTTGCAACCATTTCTTTTCTTTCATTAACAGCCTGTCATATGTTTTGTTTACTGCAATCCACTTAGCTTTCAATTTTATCACCAAAATTCGGATTTTTTCTGTTAATTTTTCACTATGCACTTTTTCACCATCCAAACCTTCTGATATCAAAATTTCCTCATAAAGGAGGCTCCCAATATCCTTGTTAGTTATACAAATTTCTCTTACTTTGGGAATCAAGTCTATTATTTTCATTTTGAGATGTAATCACAAAGGCACATATTACTAACTAATTTTTTGGATTTGTAAACAACTTTTTGCAGATTTCTTATTAATTGCAAAAAACTTTAAAATTCAATTTCTCAAAAACGTGCTACTTTGATGCGGGTTTTTTTTTTCGGGCATTCCTGTATATATTCAAGATACTTCTCCATCAAAGTTCAGGGTGGACAAGTGTGGACATTTTTAGAAAAAGTAAATATTGTGAATATTATTTTCTGAAAATTTTTAATTTTTTCACAAATTGTGAAATTCAAACATTAATTTTTGGTGTTGATAAAAGTTCAATGTCAGTTACTTACCGGATGATATAATATTTTTATATGATGTTCACCGAAAAAATGAAAGAAAAATTTTTAAAAATGACCATTTTGTGACAATTTTAAGATCTACTTGAAAACTCTAAAATTTATAGTGAATCTTTTGCCCACAAACAACCTGCATATAACAAGCTCACAAAAAGAGTAAAAATTTACAAAATCATAAAAAATGGGTTTACCTTGTTCAGTATGCTTATAACAATCAAGATAAAGTTAAAAAACATCAAAATAAATTTAAAAAATTATTAGGGTTTTTGCCGTTTTTTCGTATCTGTGAGGCACTGTGCGCTGTGCACATATAATTAAACACATTTAAAAAAATGTGTTTCAAACTAAATATAACTATTTTTGATAATTTTTATATTTTAATTTTTTAATATATTATAAATAATTTTTAGTTGATTATAAAAATAAATAGCTAAAATTTAAGATTTTTATAATGAAAATGTTTAATCTATATATTGATTTTAGATTTAATCTATATATTGATTTTACATAAATATAAGATTATATATATATATATATATATATATATATATATATATATATATATATATATATATATATATATATATATATATATATATATATATATATATATATATATATATATATATATATATATATATATATATATATATATATATATATAATCTTATATTTACATATATATATACATATCTATATATATATATATATATATATATATATATATATATATATATATATATATATATATATATACATATATACATATATACATATATATATATATATATATATATATATATATATATATATATATATATATATATATATATATATATATATATACATACATATATACTATATATATATATATATATATATATATATATATATATATATATATATATATATATATATATATATATATATATATATATATATATATATATATATATATATATACATACATATATACATATATATATATATATATATATATATATATATATATATATATATATATATATATATATATATATATATATATTATACTTGTTAGCCCGGATGCTCAATATGCTTTATGTGGGTCACATGACAACAATATTTATGTATGGAATACACGCACAAACCAACTCGATAAAGTTCTTAAGGAACATAAGTATGGATATTTTGTTTTTTCATGGTGTCACCAAGGCTTTTTTATTTAAATCAATTAAATTTAGAAAATAATGTTTGTTTTTTCCCTTTCTTTCACAATTTCTTACTTTTTTGTTTTTTATTAAGGAGCGCTGTTATTGCAACAGCATGGCATCCGCATGGATCTAGTATTTTATCAAGCGACAAAAATAAGCACGTTATTTTGTGGAATGACTTTTGAAAATGATTTTCAAATACGGTTTGGAGTGCTTTGAGAATCCAAAAGCAACGTTGTCAGTTAAATAGTTCCCGCTTTAGATCTAATATGGCGCACTTTGGTTTAATATCAATGTAGATTCTTATTGTTTTTGTGGTGTGCATCTGCTGGTGTTAATCGTTTTTGTTAAAACAGTTTTATATCTTAAATACTATTCCTGTTGGCTATATACCCTCAAGTTGTTGCTATTAACATCAATGTGTATTGTTTGAATGGATATTTAGTAAATAAATAGAGTATAAATGGTATTAAAAGTAACCGAGTTTAGCAAAAAAACTAGAAATTGAATTACGATCAGAGATCGTAATTAAACTCTTTGTGTATGATCAATATGATAAAAAAAAACTTTAAAACTTTTGAAAAGGGCTAGATAATTTTTGCTATTAGTAAATGTTTTAACTTTTTATATTTAGCAAAAAAGTTTTATATTATGTTCGCTAAGCTCATACATAAAATCAAATTAATTGGTTGTTAGAAACGTTTACGGTATGCCATCTTCATTATGTACGAGAGATTTCACGTAGCTGGCAGATTATACGTACGAATCGGATTTCTGTATTTCTTGAAGCCTCAAGAGAATTTTATTAAACTTATTTTTAATCTTTTTGACAAATTTTATGAATAATTACTGTTTAATATTTTGTATATTAGTATACAGAACTTTTCGTTTTGATATTTATATAGAGTATAATTGTATGATATGAAATCTCTAAGAATTATATCCAATTTTGTATTGAAATAAGCATATATATATATATATATATATATATATATATATATATATATATATATATATACATATATATACCTGAACCCTATTGTGTGTAGGACACCAGGCAACAGATTTATATTTTGCTATATCATACGATAAGTAAATTTTTTTTTCAATGTTAAATAATTTGTAGTGATTTATTTAGATTACTGCATAGTTATAATTTTCTAATGTAATATGTGTTCATAGCAGTTCGTGTTAATAGTTAGACAGTTTTAAACTCGTCGATCGTGATATTTTTACAGATGTATTTTTACAACAATATAAATTTTTATTAAATATGTTTGATTGAAAAAGAAAAGTCGAATTTATAGTAAATTTACCTAAAACGAATAAATATTGTATTAAACTTTTTTTTTTGCCACCATTTTTGAATATCTTATTTAAAATACAACCTAAAATCATTCATCATTTAAAAAGAACTTACCTGAAATAAATTTTTTCGACTACTTGAAATTATTTTTATTATTTTTTATTCTAATAATATATTGTTTTTAATGTTATTGTTTCTGAGTTTAACATTTTATTATAAAATAAAGCGCGCAATAATTTAATTTAAGTTTCTTATGTGCAATAAAGTGCCATTCTTAAACATGTAAATGTTTGGATATCAAACATCAAAAATCACTTCATCCGCCCCTGACTGTTTAAAACAAAAAATAAAGCATTATAATTAGTTATCGAAGCGAACAAACGTGTGTTTTGTACAGCGTGTTTTAATTGTTATATAAATATAAAAATTTCGATTAAAAACATAGAAAAAATAATTATCAACAAATTAGAAGAACAGAAAAATTCTCAAAGAAAAAGAAAAGATTTCCATGATTGGTTTCCATGGTTATTATACCATTATTATTGGGGACCTAAATATTTTCTATAAGTGAAGATAATAAAATTAAAAACTTTTACGAGTCTTTTTTCGAAACTGGAGCAATCCCTTTGATTAATCGTCCAACGAGAGTGACAAAAACTCAGCGTCTTTGATTGATAATATCATTACAACATATATATCCGACAATGATATCTAAACAGGTATACTAAAGTCGGATATATCTGATCATTTTCCTACACTTTTGTTGCTTAAAACAAACTCCGAAAATATAACCAAATTAAATCAAATTAAATTACACACTTTTGACGAAACCAATATAAAACAATTTAAAAACCAACTATCACTCCGACACTGGAAACATTAACTTTAATGATAATGCTGACAAAATTTACAATAACTTTTTTGATAAATTTTATTATGTGTATGACGCTAATTTTCCTATCGTTGTAAAAACAATAACTCCAAAAAGTATAACCAACCCATGGGTGACCAGGTTATTTAAAAAATCATCAAAAATAAAACAGAAGCTTGATATAAAATATCTTAAAACAAAATCATCTTCAAATGAAAAAATATAAAAAGAATACAAATACCTATTTGAAAAAGTTAATAAAAACTTGAAAAAAAGTTACTACTCAAGACTCATAGATAAATTTAAAAATAACTTAAAACGCACTTGCAAACAATGAATGAAAGTAGTGGCAGACAAAAATGATGCTCAAGTTCTCTCCCCTAAACAATTATAGTTGATAACAAACATATATGCGAATCAAGAGCTATAGCTCATGAATTTACTAAATTCTTTGTAGATATAGGTCCCAAATTAGCAAACAAAATTCTTTTTACAAATGCTACATTTAGTGATTTTTTAGTACAAGTGGACAATTGCACTGGTTCCAACAAATTATCTTCTGAACTATCTTCAAAACTCTTTAAAAAAAAAAATCAACTGGAGTAGATGACATAAACGTTAATATAGTCATAGAATGTTTTAAATAGTTAAAAATTATTCAATTTAAAGTCTATACGCAATCTTTACGCCAAGGAGTTTTTCCTGAAGAACTAAAAATTGCTAGTTACTCCAATTTTAAAAGAATGTGATCAAACAAATATCATTTATTGTTGTCCTATCTCTGTCCTCTCCACATGTTCAAAAACACTAGAACGTATTATGTACAGTAGATAAAACAATTATCTACATTCTAATAATTTTTATACAACTATCAATTCGGCTTTTAAAGTAATAATTCCGCAGAACACGCAGTTATCCGATTTGTACGTGAAACCTTTTTTGAAAAGTCTAAATATACATTAGGTGTTTTCATCAACCTTTTGAAAGCATTTGATACTGTCGATCATAAAATTTTACTACAGAAGCTAAAATATAAAATAAATTGTAAAGTTAAAAAATGGTTCAAAAGTTGACTTCGGCAATAATGATCATCCAAATAAATTTCTAATTATTTTATGTGGCTTTCGAAAAAGTTCCATTTTGGTACCACTATTGTTCTTGGTTTATATAAACGACCTAAACAAAGCCTCAAATTTAATGAGTTACATGTTTGCTGATGGTACTAACTTATTCTTTTCCAATAATGACATTTATAAACTCTTCTATACCATGAATGATGAACTTGAAGATATATCCAAATGGTTTAAATGCAACAAACTAACTCTTAACATTAAAAAACAAATTGGGTTCTTTTCCACCCAGTCTTAAAAAAAGCTTATTTACCCCGAAGTTTGCTTAAAGTTTTTAATGATAATATTGAAATTAAAAGACATAATGTAACAAAGTTCTTAGATGCTTTTCTTGATGAAAACATCACATGGAAAACGCATATCAACTATACTAAGAGAAAAATTTCTAAAAATATTGGAATTTTATATAAAACCAGAACATATTTATATAAAAAAAAGTGTAACTCAACTTTATTATACTGGAGATTTACTTGTAAATGGTCCACAAACAATTTCGGCGTGGTGCAGTAGTTAGAGCACTTGTTTTATAAGCAGGAGATCCTGGTTCGAAACGAGCCTTGGATATATTTTCGCGTTAAGGTAAGGAAGGAGGCGTGAACTTCCTGGTTAAAGCACTTCCACGGTGCTCTGTGACAAGACCGTTAGGTCTTCCTTGGGCACCTAAATAACAATAAAAAAAAAAATTACTTATTAATTCATGATTATTTAAATAATACTAATGGTGCATGGGGATGCACTGAAAAAAGCAAGTTGAATTGGCTTTATCGCCGTCAGGAACATGCGATCCGTTTAATTAGTTTTGCGGATTGATAAATTCATTCTGAACTATTTTCAATTTAAATGAAAGTTCTCAATATTTATGGGGTTAATGATTTTAATGTTTTGTGCTTGATGTATATGTAGAAAAATGACATATCTTCACCCGTTTTCAAAGATCTCTTTTGTTTGAAACCAATAAAATAATATACACTTAGAAACAACAACTTTATGTAAGAGCCCACTTGTCGATCGAAGTTTAATCAGTTTTGTGTTGCACATCGTAAATCTTATATTCAGAATAAAATTGTTTTGTCTATTTTCGACATGCTTTTAACTATTGGCATATTATATCAACAAATATAAACAATTAAAATTAGTTATGTTGAAATAATGCGAGAGACTTTTTGCTAGATAACAATGCCATTACCACGTAATGCAGAGTACTACTACACAAACGATCCAACACATCATAAATAGCACCATCACTACCTTATTGAAAAAATTCCATGTTTTTTGTAATTATTTTTGGCTTATTCTTATTCACTTTTTATCTCATCTTGTTTTATATTTTTTTGAACATATTCATCAACAGTCATAAAGTCAGTTGTAGAACTATTTTACCATTTGCATATTACTTTTGGTCAATCACTCTTTTTGAACTTAGATGTTTAACGCATTTAACTCATTTTTAATCTGTGCTCCTTAAGATAAAACTCATTTTTATTCTGTGCTTCTTAATATATGTCGGTATCAATGCTTAGATGAATAGTTTTTTTCACTTCTTTAAGGTTCACAATATCATCGCTAAATTAAACTGTTCGTGATACTAAAAAAACGAAATTATTTGTAACTAATTCTAAAATACAAAAAAATAAAACAACAACAGTAAAATCAGATTAGATTTAAACTAACTTTTAAAAACGTTCATTCTTTAATAAATTAACAATTAAAGTTAATAAAAGTAATTTTAAGAACATTCAAAAAAATTGTAAAAATAAAGTAGAAATAATAAACTATAATCCATTCACACATACATACAAAAATTAGTAGTGTATATATGCTTATTGCTTATTGAATAATATGTATAACAGTATTGCAGTTGGATCAGATAAATTTTTAATAATTTTCACTAACTATAGTATTTATTTAAATTATGGTTGGCCATATGATATATAACATATTCATCAACAGTCATAAAGTCAGTTGTAGAACTATTTTACCATTTGCATATTACTTTTGGTCAATCACTCTTTTTGAACTTAGATGTTTAACGCATTTAACTCATTTTTAATCTGTGCTCCTTAAGATAAAACTCATTTTTATTCTGTGCTTCTTAATATATGTCGGTATCAATGCTTAGATGAATAGTTTTTTTCACTTCTTTAAGGTTCACAATATCATCGCTAAATTAAACTGTTCGTGATACTAAAAAAACGAAATTATTTGTAACTAATTCTAAAATACAAAAAAATAAAACAACAACAGTAAAATCAGATTAGATTTAAACTAACTTTTAAAAACGTTCATTCTTTAATAAATTAACAATTAAAGTTAATAAAAGTAATTTTAAGAACATTCAAAAAAATTGTAAAAATAAAGTAGAAATAATAAACTATAATCCATTCACACATACATACAAAAATTAGTAGTGTATATATGCTTATTGCTTATTGAATAATATGTATAACAGTATTGCAGTTGGATCAGATAAATTTTTAATAATTTTCACTAACTATAGTATTTATTTAAATTATGGTTGGCCATATGATATGTTTTAATTTATAGTTTGCCAAGTTAGAGTAGCTACATCTTTAAAAAAAGACAAGCTAAGTAAATAAAACTATAAGTGTACTGTGTAATCAAGTTATTGTAAGCGTAAATTATTTGGATTGGC